TCTGGGGCGTGTCGCCTCACCGTGGGGACGGCCGCCCTGGCCTGCGAGCGCCGCGGGGAGAGGACCACCGGCTCTCCCTGCAGAGGGCCCCGGCTCACACCGCAGCAGTCGCGGTGCGCAGAGCGCCGGCCCCGCGCCCCTCCCCGGCAGCCCCGGCAGGCTGGCGGGCTTACTCACCCGGATGCTGTTCACAATGGCCGCGGTTTTGCTCTCTGCCGCCTCCGGGTTTCCAATGAGGTAATCCCAGGCACAGAACACCCGCCAGCAGAACGTGTAGTTTTCACTGGACGCGCTGGCGAGGCTGGTGCGGGAGTTCTTAGCCATCCTGCAAGAGAGCATCCGGAAGGGGGCACGCGTGAACAGTGCCAGCAGTCAGCCCAGCCCCTGGGGGCTGCTGCTAGTCCACGCGCAGCCTCTGCGGGCACAGAGCCGGCAGCCCATCTGGGTCTGGCAAGCACAGCGCTGGAGGGGTTCACTGCTCGTGTCCTCAGCCAGCCCCTCCGAACAGTGTGAAGCCGGCAATGGCCCATCCTTGGCTGAGGCTGTTGGACCAGCGGTCCCACCACTGCGGTGGCTGGGAGGTCCCTGAAGGTGTGGGCACATCTCTGTGCAGCTGTGATGGTGAAACAAAATTCTCTCCTTTGAGCTGAATCAGTCTTTTTGGAGTTCCCACTGAGGGAAATGCTTCTCCACCTCACCAGCATGGGGGTCCCTCTTGTACACGACACTCCCTCAGTCGTATGGGAAGGCAGGAGCCGTGCTCCCTCCTCAGGCGCAAGTCCCTGTCCCTTAGACCATCTCTCCTGTTACAGGTTTTTACCTCTCCTCTCCACCCCTATTTCCTGCTCCTGAGTTCACTTCAACTTGTCTCTTAAATTAAAACATCCAGCAAAGAGTCTGTCTTCTAGGTGGAGTCTTGAGGCCACCTGGAGGCTAAGCTGGACAGCTTCCTGTGAACTGAAGGTCCTCAAGTCGCTATGCATTTCCTTAGGTTCTTGTTTGTTTGATGATGATGATGGTGATTGTTTTATCTTTTTTTTAAATCCCAATCAATTCTACCTGCACTTTGCTAAAATGCCACAGGGGGCATTGTGCTGAAGACATACTAGTACCCAGGAGTCAGAGAGAAGTGGCACGTGAGCCAAGCTGGTGGGGGCCAGGCTCTCCCTGGGCTCAGAGCCCCTCCGGCAGTCTGCATGGATCTAGCCCCTACATAGAAGCACAGAATGTGAAAGCTGCAAGGGAAACTGGGAATTTTCTGAGCCAACCTGCCCATTTTACAGCCGTCTGCCCAGAGAGGGGAAGTGAGTAGCTGTGGTCTCACGAGGGGGCGGTGCAGGAATCCTGCCCCAGCCAGTTTGCTTTCTTCCCGCTGTGCCTCCTCTCAGTACCGAACTGCATGTTCGACTGCATCACAACACAGACAAGAGACAAACATACAGTCAAAGGAGGATGCTTTGCTTTCTGCAACCTCTGGTCACCCAGACCATCGCGTGCACATCTCTATTAGTGCAGTTACTACATTGTCTCAAATGACACGAACTGTTAAGTCTACGAGATTCTTGCATCTCCACATCCAACGCAGAGCCTGGCACAAAGTAGTAAGTATTCGATCAGTGTGGGTTGAAATGAGCATATATCTCTTTTATCCGTGGTCTCCTCATCTGTAAAATGGGCAGAGCTATGCCTTAACTTTACATGGTATTGATAAAATTAAATGAGATCATGTGTATCATTTTGCATCATGTTTTGAGAAATTTAGCAGACATACTTTTTTAAGAGAATGATGAAGCTGTAAGCAAACACTGCCATCCCCACCAGGAAGTACGCCAAGGGCAGCCGGTAGCCCGCTCTCCCGATCCTCCTCTCCTTGCCGTAGTAGCCGTAGAAGAGGACAGAGTACTGGAGGTAACCCTGCAGAGAGATCCCTCGGGGTCACTGCTGACTCCCAGGTCCCGGCATGCAGGCCCACTCACCCGCTCCCTCAAGGCGGGGTTGTGGCCAAGTCTGAAACTCACCCCCAGGGACCAGACGGTGTCCAAGTCTTGGGCAGATGCCACATGCTCCGTGGGGATGGTCTTGCTGGCTGTGCTTCCAAAGGGCTGGCCTGCAATGAGCTGGTGAGAGAGGAAAAGATGTCATGTGATCCTCTAAGTGGGAGGGACCAGAAGAAAAGGGGCTGTTGATCTCCATGCCCCGGTGAAGATGCTGCACATGTGAGATTTCTAGGGAGTGGATTCTGCTCGATTCCCATTGATGGAAAATTAAGCACGGGTGGCCAGATTTCCTTTTTGCCTGATGGGGGCCTGTCTGGGTGTACTCTCTCTGGGCTGGACGTGGCTTCTATGGGTGGATGATTGAGGCCACCAGGTTTCTACAAGGGCATAGGAAATGGCCCCATTTACTTTGGGAGGAGAAAGTTTAGTTGAGAAATGGGTTTTATTTTAACATGATGCCTGCAAATTGGCCCGTAAGCCAAACCCAGCCCATGGGCCCTTTCTGTGCCCTGAGAGCTAAGTGTGATTTGGGCGTTTTGAAATGGTTGGAAAAAAAAAATCGAAGAATAGTATTTTGTGATATTTAAGAATGATATGAAATTTAAATTTCAGTATCTATAATAGAATGTTATTAGAACATGGCCACACTAGTTAGTTACCTACCGTCTAGGACTGCTTTTGCACTGCACGGTAGAGTTTTGAGTAGTTGTGACAGAAACCACATGGCCCACAAAGCTGCAAATATTCATTACCTGGCCCTTTACCCAAAAAGTCTGCGAGCCCTATTCTAACGCACGGATTGTCCTTCCCACGAGGATAATGAGGGCAGCCGTTTTATGCTACAGCTCTAAACGTCTCTTCTTTTTAAAAACGTCTTTTCTTTTTAACAAATGGCACACCCTACTGTCCTGAATTACTTCTTACCTCTGGAATGACAATGAAAGCACCTGTCATAATCGTGAGCACAATATTAATTCCAAATAACCATCTCAAGAATATGAAATAAGAGGCAACACCAGATCCAAAGTGACCTAAAGAGAGACAAGAAAATGAGAACAGCTGATACAAAACCCACGCAGTGCAAGAAGCTCTCTGTAAAGTCACACTGGTTTTTCTTCTATCAACGTGACATAGTGAGAACTCCATCACTGTACTAGTCAGTGTGTCCCACCCAAATGATCATTTAGATGGATTAAGATGCTCATTAATATCGACATGTAATACACGCAGAAAAAATTCCAAATTTAATAATTATCCTAATGGGATACTCATCTAGAATGCTGTTATCAAATTAAAAACATTTCATGTATGTTCAGAAGTATTAATGTCCTTTGAGAATTTGATAATTTTTTTTTTATTTTGCATGGTTTTGAGAATTCCAAGGATTTTTCTTTTATCTTAATTTCAAAATAAGTAACACTCTGCTGAATATTAATGTTAGGGGAACCTGGGTGAGGGGGTTAGGGGAACTCTGCCACTTTTCCATACGTCTAAAGTTATTCTTAAAAAATGCATTTAAAAACAAATTTCTATTGAGAAAATAAGGGAGCATAGAAGAAGCTGGATGAAGACGTGGGTGATATTACGATGACTCTGGGAGCAGGTGGACTTGTGCCATACTTAAAAAAAATAGTCTCAAATTTTTATTTCAAATCTAGCTTGTTTGTCATAATAAGTAGAAAAACATAAAACATCACAAAGAAACCCCCAAATTACCTATTACAAGGTCAGTAAATTAAAATCACTACTAGAATTAGTTTCTGGTAAACTTTTAGTGTAACCCTTCATTATTATTCCATATGTGTACTTTTTTGGCATAAAACTGGCATTTCTCTACAACATGCATCTGGAATTATCAATATATTACAAGCATTTTCTCATGAAAGCTACTTCCCTACAAACTGAATTTTATTGTCCCAGCAAATGATTTTTCCATACATTATTTAACTTCTCCCCCAAGACTTGATAGTCTGGAAGTTTCTAACTTCTCACAGGTAGAGTATTCACTAGGATAAATAACCACAGGAAACAATTTCCATCTAAGGTCAGGCTTCCTAGCAGCAGAGCCTGAGGAAAGGGTTCAGCTAACGTGATACATTAAGGAAGTGCTCTCAGGAGAAAGGGGACTGGGGATCAGGGGCGGTCGGGGGAAAGAACTAAGCAGAGATGTGGTCTCAGCTGGAGCCTGGCTTAGCCTGATCGTGTGGGGAGCTCTGCAGGGCAGGTTGCATCACAGAATGGACCCCTTTGAATAAAAAAACTGGACTTGAATGCCCCTTGGTCATTGCCTCTAGGCTGCCCAGTGGAGCTGGGGGAGCAGATGATGAGGGCCCAACATCTGGAACAATGGGGGTCAAGGCTAATCTCCCAGAGAAGGGGGCAGCGATGAGCCAGAGCAGCCGATACCCTGAGGAGCTGAGAAAAGGCGGACCAGCCCAGTGAAGGGATCTGGGCAGGGCACCAAGTGTGTCCACACAGCCTTGTGCATTAATTCTGTTGTGGCTGTTGTTGTCTCTGGTTGTTAAGGGATGGAAGAGTTCTATCAAAGAGTATAAACATTTTGAAGATGTTTGGTACAAATTCTAACTCCCCCCTAGAAATATCATCCAATTGACATTTCCACCAGCTGGTAGAAAGTGCTTAGTTCCATCTAGATGTTGACAATGTTTAGCTTTACTTGTTTATGTGTGCAAAATTTATTTTAATTGTAGTTAAATATAACAGTACTTTTCTCCGTGATTTTCTTCTTTTATAGTTTGACAGCCTTCCGTTCTGAGATCACATTACTTCTATTTTTAAAAAATTCTTTCATGGTTTCCTATTTTATATTTAAATATTTAACGGAACGTTAAAATGAAGGATCTAACCTCATTCTTTAAAACAGTTGACTCAACTGTTCCAGCGTCATCTTGGCACTGCACTACACTGTTTCAATTTTTATAGCATTTATAATGTACTTTAACCTATTGGTTATGCAAGTTTATTTGTGGATTTCCGTTTAAAAGAGCTTTCATTTAGTCTTTTTCATGTTTTTCTTCCGTATGAGTTCATTTTGTTGAATACAAAAAACATTGCATCGAGAATTTTATTAGAATTGCATTAAACTTGTAAACTGATATTGAGAAAATCAACACCTTCTAAATATTAAGTCATCCTAAGTCTTGTCACAAGACTTTGTTTAATAGCCTGTGCCCCAATTTTACAGTGTTCTTTACTCAGACTTCTAGTAAAGTTTATTCCTGGTCTTGTGTGTTGCATAGGGTGTGTTTGTACTGTGTGTGTGTGTTTGTAAATGTGACTGTGATTTATTTATTTTTTAGGAGGTGGTTCCTAAGTGGTTACAATCACCTCTCTGAAAATGCGAATTTTTGTATTTTTGTTTTGCAGCTGTCCTCGTTACCCTTTTCTTCATCTGCATGGTTGTTCCCGCTGTCCTTTTGGGTTTGCATTGTGTCTGACTAAGGCAAAGAACAGAGAACAGCCGAGCCACAGTGGAACGTGGGGCTGTTTTTATCCTGGGAGGTGGTGGGGACAGGCACCGCGTCTTCCGTCTCCACTGTCCCAGGTCCAGCCCAGGTCAGCACCACGTGTGCAGGCGCCCCTGGCTGCCCAGTGTAAGGACCAGGACGCACCAGTCCCATCTCAGACCGTGCTGTTGGCTGGCCACTAGGACCGCATCCCCACCTCACCCCTCCAAGTGCCAACACTTACTCTCAATTTTCTTTATCCTCATTTCCCAGGGGATGAAGATGACCACAAAGTTACAGGCCAGACGAGCAAGCTTCCGCCACAGCTAGACAGGAGGGAGCAGGATTACAGGATCAGAGTTGACTTGGTGGCACCAGGGTCCCGAGCGGAGGAGACACTCCCCACTCTCAGACACACCAGCTGCTCTTTCATTGATTTCACAGACTTTATGGAGCCCTAGGACTAGTGCAACCCCTGTCTCCTCTGTGCTGCTGCGCAGCTGAGGGCTCCTGCTCTGGGCTCTGAGCGGGGGTGTCTGCGCCAAGCGCATATTCTCTAGGGCCGCGACCTGCCTTATTCAGGGCACTCCTGCTGCGAGGACTAAAACAGGGGGTTCTGCTTGAGGAATGACGTCCAAACACACCCACTTGGCCTTCTCTGGGAGCGGGTCCCAGGAATCCACATGGCTAACAAATTCCCTGATGATGACAATTCCCATCCTAAGAGTCTAGAACATACCCTGAACATGAACCCCACTGTGTGCCTCTAATCCTGCAGCTGGAGCTCTTTTTCCAGCCTCTCTCCCGGCCAAAGGTGCCACCATAAGGTCTGGAAATTGTCTTGTACATTTAAGATGCAACTGCCAAAAGTTCAAGTCTTTTTTTTTTTTTTCTCAAAGAAGAATAAAGCAAAATGTGAAAACTGTGCCCTGACACTGGGCTGGCTCCCCCACGACCTTGGCAGGTTGTTCATTTTAACACACAAACAATCTGGGTTTGTGTTGGAAGCAAATGATATCGTTGCCAAAAGAAGGGCCATTACAAATGTAATTACAACATTCTGAACTCTAAGACGGCACGTGGTCCTGGTGCAGACACGCATGATTATGTTATTCTGAATGTGTCTGCTAAGGCCAGGATGGCTGGTTGGAAATGCAAGTCTGTTTGAATTTTATCAGAAGTTAGAATTGTTTGCTGCTCATGATTCAAGACCCAACTTAAATACAGCCAAGCTCCTGAAGCCCTCACACAGATTCTCTGTAGCCAGAAATACATTCTTCCATTTGTAAACTCCCCCAGTTACCATTTTAGTCTCTCTGATAATGCTTATCGCATCCTACCTTGCCTCTATATGGTTCACCTGGCTTATCTCCTCTTGCACAGAGAGGAGGACCAAGGGTTTGTGATCTTTCATCCCCTACAGTGTCCGGAGGCAGGGTGCTTAACATCCTTTGGTGAGGGTTTAGTGTTGAAAGCATTTGAGTTTCTGGTCCACTGTAAAGTCCTTAAGTGTGAGAAGCACCAGGTGGGAGACCAGAGACCTGAGTCTCTAGCTCCAGCTCAACCTCTATGTCACTCTGTGCCTGGGGAAAGTCCTTTTCTTTCTTTGAGATTCCATCTCCTCATCTGTACAAGAAGTAGGATTCAATCAGTGGGATTCAGAGGGCTCCTTCAATCTAAAATTCAATCGAATTTCAGTGAGAATTTCAGTACATGGAATAGACGAAAGCAGAGCAAAGCCTCCTTCCCCAGCCTCTGGTGCTCATTTGAGATCCAGGGGCTCAAAACGCATCTTAAAGAGCAATAGGCTGAATGACTCCACAGCGCTCATTCCAGTGAGGCCAACGTGACTGAAAAACGTGATTTGTTAATGACCAAGACTTGGTAAGTTATGGGGAAAACCACCACACTTCTTTGATGATTTGCACCAAATCTCCATGGCAAAAGCCTTGAAACTTTGGAATGAATCATGATTTTAAGAGCAAGGTGAAAACAAAATAAAGCAAAACCAAAAACCAAATTCTAATTGTGGGCCTGGGTTATTGAGTTTTGTTAAGGTTTATAAATTCACCAGGAGCAAATGGGTTCTAACAACATGTACTATAGTTTGTGAAAAGTGTGTTCATTCAGAGTATGCACTGAGCACCTGGGCTGTGTTTCCAGGAGCATGGATGCAAATAGTAAACAAGACTTGTGAATTTGCATTCAGGTAGAGGGGAGGCAGCAACAAAGAATTCAGTGCCACCTGGGACCAGTCCATTAGGACTGCGGGAGGAGGCTCTTCGAAACAGATGGTCAAGGAACGTCTACCTGGGGTGGTCACACTTGAGACCTGAATGAAGATGAATCAGTGCTTTGAAAAATAATAAATTGGTAGAGAAACTATCTAGGAGGAGAGAACAGCCCGTACAAGTCTGTGGGTTAGAGTGAGCTGGGCGTTCTACAGAAAGGGGTAAAGGAGAGAGCGCTGACATGAGAGCCAATAGGTAGTAATGGCCAGATCGGGCGGGCCAGAGGAAGGAGTCTGGATATAATTCTAAGTGTGATTAAATGACACCTTGTCTGTCTGTCTGTCTGTCTGTCTGTCTATCTATCTTCACTGGAGAAAGAGATGGTATGAGTGGTTCAGTGTTTCAAAGATTTCCCTGGCTCCTATGTGGAAGAGAATGGATTATAGGGGGACGCGAGCAGAAGCAGGAGGATCTGTTAGGAGGCCAGTCAGTCTATACACCATCATGGACAGGTGCCTTTAGATCCTTCACAGAGGAAGTGTTCTTGCCAGATCATGCCATGAAGCTTTCTCAGGAAGGATGACCTCCCCTGCCGATATCATGTGAGAAACCAAGGACAGAGACTATTAGAACTAGAAGAAATCTTAAGACTCAAACACGAAAACCTCATCACTTCCAAAGTCATTACCGAGAGCAGAGAAGCGATGGCGGAAGGACCTAGGTGCCCTGACTCCTGGTGTTTGCTGTTCTGTGTGCCCAGTGCAGCATTTCTGCCCACGTGATATCTGGTGCTCCAGGTGGTGTCACACACTCAGATCATGTTTTCTTATGAAACACAGCAATATGCTAGTGCTAAAGGCAGATTGACTATATAATAAAAGTGTTTTCCTGCTACAATCAGGAAGAAACCTACGTGAACAGAGGATGTGGGTGGGAAAGAGTTGGAAGGAGCTCCAGAGGATGCCCTGTGTTCTGGAACAGTGATTCCCAAGAGAGGACAGAGTGGCAGCCCTGGTGAGTGGTGACCAGGATCTCAGTAGCGGGAGTCATGGGAGACTGTGTGGTTAGGTAAAGTTTACTATTTGAAAAACAAAATGATCATTTTTATGATAGAAACCAATGACTATAAATGGAGACAAAACTCATTAGACTGCAGGCGATAATGCAGACTGGCTAGATATCTTCTATTTTCTCTCTACTTTGCAGGTGGAGTAAGTGGATGCTGATCTTCAGCGGTCCATATCAAAATTTCCAGTGTGAAAAAAAATTCTAAACATAAAAAAGGTAGAGGAATGATGTTCTGAATGAGGGGACGGACCAAAGTGTTAGGAAGACATGCTGGGAGGATGACTTTTCTTTGACCTTTTACTGCGTCTCCAGAGGGCAGAAGAAACTGCCTCAGCCACCTCTTTACCCCCCAGTGCCCGGCACAAAGCATGGTGCGTGGATTCAACTGAACTAGATTGACCTGTTTTCTGCAGGACCATTGGTAATAGTGAAAGGACTAGGGTAGCTGTGTCTGCTAAGTGCTGGTTGAAAACTTTGGAGCAATCTCTAGGTAAGGCTGAAAATTCAGATCACTGTTCTCACTTTAAAAGCTCTGATTCGAAACATTCAGTCCATTATTAAGTTATAATCCATACTGAGCTCACGGTTACTAAAAGCCCCAGTACTTTTTCATGGTTATTTATTTTACAGGTTGTCTGAACCCAAGTGAAAGACCTTACATTTTTTCAAATGTTTTTCCGTAGTGTTTCATACAGTTTATTTAGAGAAAATGGGAGAGAGCTTGGCAGCACATAAGCTTATAAAAAGCTAATTTTGTTTTGTACATTTATCCCACCAGGTTCATCATAGTGTGAGAAGCACAAGGAGTCATGAGTAATTTTGATCATAAGAACGGATTAGAGCCTTCAGGTAGATTCTGCGAAGAGTAAGAAGCAAGCACGCTAAGGCAGGGCCGTGGGGATTCTTCGATGTTTTCTAATTTTTCAGTTATGTAAAATTCATGACAGCTTTAATTTAAACTTCACTAAGGATATTTTTTTCCAGAGAATCTGAAAAGATTGCATCTGTCAGTTTTTATCTGTTAAAGTAACAAACTTTTTAAAAGTACAATATTCAGTGGAGGTGGAGAGACTATGAGGACAGTAAATTCTTTCACTGTGGGTGGCAGTGTAAATTATTAAGGCTTTTGTAAAATGATTTATTAATATTTATCAAGAGCCAAAAAAGATGGATCATACTCTTTTCTACAGAGATCATAGTTTTGATTATAACCTAAGAAAAAGAATTTAAAAATTCTTAGAATTTTAGAAAATTCTAAAAATTTTTAGAAAAAGTTTTAGAAATTTTTAGAAAATTTTAAAAGATATGAAAAGCCATCTGTGTAAAGATAGTCTTTGCAAGGCTGTTACTAATAATGAAAAATTAGAAGCTATTTAAGTATCATCAACAGACAAGTAACTAATTAAATTAATATACACTTATCTGATGGAATATTACACAGTCATTGAAAATGATAAGTAAAAAAACTACATAGCAGCATGGAGAAAAATCCTTGTTATGGTGTTAAGTGAAAAAAAAAATCCAGACAAAAATACCTGTATACCATAATTACTTCGATGTGAAAATTATATATCCAATGAGTGAAATGTGAAGTTTAAAAAAAGATACTACCTTGGGAAATAGACAATCCTAGAAGGAGAAATTATTTTTTTCTTTGTCTTCTAAACATTCATGAAAATTTTTGGAATGTCTTTAAAAACAGATAACGTCAAGGCCTCCTAAAGTTTAGCTTTAAGTAACTGAATGGGAAAAATAAGAAACAAAAACGTTAGCACTGCATTATACAATGAGCATTGGAATACGCCTGTAACTTTTGCACTGTAAGATATACAGTAACTAAAACCTACAAGAACGAGTGGGATTAATTCAGGAAAGAAGCTAGATTGTTCTCTAAGGGAAGGTATCCTTTTTTTTTTAAGAGTTGGGCTTACCCAGGGTCACCCAATTAGTAAGTGGTGGCGCTGGGGACTAAAATCCAAGTTTTGGGAAACGCAGACCTTCCAGTTCACCATACTGCTCTACAGCTGTTAGTGACGGATGCTCACAACCTGTGTACCACGGCACATGCAAGGGCAAGCACAGCTTCCCAGGCCCAGAGACCACAGGGAGGGCGGCGCGTCTGTGTGTGTGGGCTTTACCTCTGCGCCTGCCGCTTGGTAGCCTCGGGTCCTGGTCAGCCTCCCTTCAAACTTCAGCACAATGTCCTTCGCTCGTCTGAGGGGAGAAAACCATGATGAGGAGCATGATTTTATCACACCGATCGTCTTGGCAAAGCCCGCGGAAGTGCAGTGGGACTAGGCTGCCCAACAGCGTAGAGTGAGATGCAGTGGCACAAATCTTGCATTTCTTGACTTTTGGTAACCAGAAAACTCCTTTAAAGGTATTTTCTTTAAGACTTAAATGCATGAATTCATAGGAGATGATGAATTAATGTCAACATCAGTTGCAACTGAATTTCTTAATGCCCCGCCCTGATTCTGGCTGTTGGCTGGGCATCGTGAACTTTCGAAATCCTTGTAGCAGGTACCAGCATCTCGGCCTCTCCACTTAATCTCAGAAGCCTTCCCTCTGCAATTAATTTTTTAGAAGTGAAAGTCAGACCCACTCTAGAGAATCTGCTTTGAAAAAAAGGGTGGTATCTGGTTAATGTGAGCAAGAAAGTTGTGTCTCTGAAGCCACGAACAACCAGATTTAGCTCAGACCAACTACTGACTCACTAGCTGCCCCCTTTGGTGACTTGAACTGATGTCTTGCTTAAATGGTTAATTCTTGAAAATGGACTGAATTTATTAGGATGGATGGTTTACGTTTGGATATAAACGAACTGCAAGATTAGAAAACAAATGTTAGTGCCATGCGACAGACCGAAGTCAAAGACTCTAACAGATGAATGTCATTTTCAAGGTGACTTCATCTGGTTCTGCACTGATGAGCCCCCCATGTGGCTGAACATTTGATCATGCTTAGCGTCGAAGAACTTAGTTCTTCTGAATCATTCAGTTTGCCAGTTTGACCAGTTTACTCATTAGGAAGTTCTCGTGTGTGTCACCCAAGGAACATCCCAGCAACACCCACTGATTCGGATACCTTTCTTGAGAGACACAAGGAACTAGCTAACTCCCTTTTCCACAAAGAGTATGATCTCTTCCGAACATGACCTAACAGAGTGCTGAGCTTGGGACCTCCCTGCCCTCACTGCCATCGCCCCACCCCCACAGCCCCGCCAACGCACCGGCTGCGTTCTGCTCAGAACCAGACACGCAGGCAAGGGGAGGGGTTGATATTCTACCCGATAGAGCATCTAAAAGGTACAGGCCTACACAGGTGAAAAAATAATTCATTTCACTTCATTATTTATTATTTTTTTGTCCTGCAAACATTTTCTGCACACTTATTTGAGTCAGGCAGAGCGGAATACGGAGGTGCATGAAACAGTGGTTGCCCGGGAAGAGTCCACTAAGCTAATTGAGGTGAAAGAGGCCTGAAGCGACCCCACGAGAGAGAGAGGGTGAGTGAGGGCGATGGAGGCTGAGTCGGTGCTAAGGCAGCAGGAGGACCTAACCTCCTCCCATCACAGACCAGTGATGACTCCACTGGCACCGGGCACGTACTTTCCTACAAAGGAAACAAGCGTGCGCTCCGTCCTCCCGGACGAGCGGCTGTTGCTCCGGACCCCAGCTAGAGCTCCCTGCTTTCATCTGTGCTGGCCACGCAGCAGTCAGGGTCCGGTGCTCTCTGCGCCTCCCACAGAGGCGCCCGGACGAGTCTCGGCAGGTGCAGTTAGTGAAGCGTTGCTCCAGTAGCTTCTCAAGGTGACCGGGAGGAGACGTGTGACAAGGGGATGACAAATGCAGGTCTCAGAGGGCGAGCTGCTCTCCAAGACGCCCTGGCCACGCTCGGGGCTGAAGGCCTGATTTGTTCTTTTGCTTCTGAAGTGCTTTGACAGAGAAGTTATCATGTGCTTTTGCTCTGCCCCCAGGTTAAAAAAAGCTCACCCTCTTACAGTTTAGATAATCATACATCTTCAGCATTTCTGTATGATTTTTAAAATTCTGATAGAACATATGACTTTTTTTTTAAGATAAATTACCCCAGTGATTACTTGGGTAGGATTCCTCTGTTTCAATAGAATAGAATATTGGAGTTGGGATCAGGAAGCCCAGCTTTAAAACTCAATTTCAGCACTCAGCAGCTGTGTGTCCTGGGATAAGCTGCTTACCGTCTCTGAGTATCAGCCTTCTCATCTGAAAAATGCCATTCTTACTCAAAGAACTGGAAGTGACGAGAGCTGGTAACAGGCATGGGGAATTAATTGGAAACTTCTGGGAGCGTAAACTATGGATAACCTTAGCTGTCTGCCGCAGCCACCTGAGGGGCAGGCTGGGTCTCCGGCCAGGCTGTTAGAACGGTGCCTGGAGTGGAAATCTAATAAAGGCGTGATCTGATGGGAAAGAAATGCAAACCTAATGGCAGACTGGAGAGAAAGGGCAATCTGCTTGGCATCTAGAAAGAGGCGCTAAAAAATAAGATGCGGCAGTGGTTCTAATCCTGGCCACACAGAGTGTGCCTAACGGTCAGGTGGGTCTGTTTCTCCAGAAAGGTCCGCGTCCTGGGTCAGAGCGGCTCAGCCGCGCGGCTCATCAGGACCACTCTGCTCAGTCCCTCTGCGGTGATCCCGGGCACCCGCGCCATCAATCACTGCTCACTTGCAGGGAGGGACTACTGAAGACCAGATACAATGCTGAACATCACATGGCTCACTGCATTTAATCCGTGAACTGCTCTCCATGAATCTCAAACTTTTAGTTTGCGAAAGAATCAACCTATTGCCCGTTAGAATGCTGGAGCCCTCTGCTGTAGTTTCTGATTCAGTAAGTCTGAGGGCTGCCAAGGGTTTTTGTCGTTAGCAGCACCCTGATGGCTTAACAGTCAACATTTTGGAAACACTGCTGTGGGAGGTCAGTGCTGGTCCTCACCACCACCTCACCTTTAAGGAGAAAGGAACTGGTCCTTAGAGAAATTATGAAAAGAGCCTAATATCACGTGGCCAGGCAATCCGTCTTCACATCTTTAGCTCTTCATTATTATCTAAACAGACTCTCCAGTATGATTCTAAGTATCTCACAGAGGTTTTTTTCCCCCCTTGAGGGAGGTCATAGCCAAGCAGGTAAAATTAGTGTCTGTTTTCACTCTGGATGGTACACCTGTCTCTACAGAGTCTGGTTATTTTGTTTACCTCTAGGCATAGTGCTAAGATCTACTATTTACAGAGGAGGTAGAAACCCCCAAATTCTCCACCAGCACACACACGTGCACGTGTGCACACAACACACACACACGGAGGCCCTGTCTGGACCCGCTGGACCCCTCGGACATGCTTATGAGTTCCCTAAGTCAGATCAAGAGTGTCAGCCCCATGACTGTCACATGGGTCTTTATGCCCACCTCCCTCGTCTCCCTGGGAGGGCAGGGTGGTTTAATGGTAAGCATACTTGCAATAACCAGTAAATGCTGTTGGGATCCTTACCTCAGCGCCCTCAGCTTCTGTCCCATGGTCCAGGGTCGGCAGCGAATGTTTGCCATGAGATCTTTCTGGAACTGTATATTCTGGAAGATTTGCTCCGGATCATTGCTGTCCCCTGTGTCATCAGCGGTAAAACTGTCATCCAAGGTGCTGAATGGATCAAGGTGTTAAGAACAAAATCTGATTAGCAGAATTGCTTCCAGCCAAGATCTTGCCCTGGGCAAGTTCAGCATCTTACAGCCCCAGGTCATCGTATGAAGTTAGTGTGTGAAGGGGAGGGAACAGGGAAGCAGGGAGAATTTTGCAGGATTAGTAGCCACTGGAACACAGTTCCCTGTTCTAGCACTTTGGTGGGTCAGTGAAAGCTACAGGCCTCACAGGATAAAAGATATTATCAGAAGATGTCTTAAAAGGAACCACGACCGTGCTTATGTACGATTCCTGAACAGCAGAGTCTTTGGTGGCAAAACAATTTCTTTTTTAGGCTTATTGAAATGATCAGCTGATTTTAGAGAAAGGACGCCTCCCTGTCGCTTAACTCTGGATGTAAAATAAATTGAAACCAAACTCTGTCATCCAGAGACCCCTCCTTACTCCCACTTTGATTCACTTGAAATCAGAGATCACAGAGGCAAACAGGCAGCAATTTCTGTGAAAGAGAAATTAGCTAAGCAAATTTACACGGACAAATCTTTCAGGGAAATAGTCACTCTCCGGGAGAACAACTTTTGAACATGTAGCAACATTTATTCCCAGTAACAATTAATATGTTAATCCTAATGCAAATTTTCAGGAGGCGATAAGAATATTCTGCCATGGCTATTTGATCAATGATGCAGTTAAAAGTAAGAGAAAAATAATTCCTTTGCTTTTCTCTAATTCAGATTGCTTTTACTTACTCAAAGGAGAATTGTCTCCCGTTTCTCCAAATTTAATGGAGGTGTTAATATACCTTTGTAAATATTTAACAAATTTGAATAACACTCCCCCACTGCTAATCAGCCTGAGGCTTTTTCCAACAGAAATCTCATTTATTATGACAGATGAACTGTCTACTCTCTCTTGATATCGCTGATTGAGTAAACAGAGAGAAAGTAGACAAAGCATGCCTGTGGGTTTGGCCAGCAAGACAGACAGGTTGCAATACAGGCTTTTGGATTCTGATCAGAAGCAGGTTGAGCCGTCACCCTCTGTGCACATGGCCAAGGTTGCCACCCTCGTTGTACAGGGATCTGGAGAAAGGAGTTTCTGAGTTCATTCTGAAGGAGAACCCAACAGGATGGGGACTTGGTCCGCTGCTCAGACTCAAGCACGGGTGACCCAGGCCTTCCCTCCTCACAAACCTGCCTCACCGCCCAGTGGATGGATGGGGCTGGCTCACCTGAGCAGCAGGGACTCCTGGTAGAAGTAGTGCTGGCTGGTGTTTCTCCGGATGCTTCTGTAACGCTGGGATGCCTTTGATGGTTTCATGGGAGCGACAGGCTGCCAGTGAGCAGTAGGGGGTGGGCAGGGTGCTGGGAAGCTGGCAGGCAGGGGTCTGCTCCCACCGGAGGTTTCTGAACTGGATCTGCGAGTTGCTCTGCCCTCCAGTTCTCAGGAGCAGGACTGCACGTCTGTAGCCAATGCTCAGAGCAGCGGAAGAGCCAGGAAGCCAATCATGCATATGTATGTGAAGGTGGCTGTGGCAGCAGAGATTGGCTGGAATCAAGACAGCAAAAGGCAAGAGGCTTGGCCAGGTGATCTAGGATCACTTGGTGCTTCCCAAATAGTCACATCTGTGACCCCTTGTGCCCAGAAAGGGCCCTGTGGTTTGCGAAGTACTTTACATTTGTTACATGACTGGCTAGGGAGAATGCAAGGCATAGCTTGTCACGATTAACTATCAAGAAAGAAGTGTAGAGAGAGTAAGAATCTTGTCCCCATTCACAGAGCGGAGTCCAGGAGACGCACAATCATACATTTTGTTTTTATCTACTCTCAGCTTGTTTTTTTTCTATTTTGAAAAAAGTTAAACCTACAGAAATGTTGATAGAACAGTACCACGAATATTATGTATTTCTATCCCAGATTCATCACTTTTGCCACATTTTGCCACATTTGCTTTATTCTATCGATACACCTCTCCCCAATCCATTTATTTTTTTATTAAAACATTTTTAAATTGAAGTGTAGTCAGTTTACAATAATTGTGACAATTCCCAGACACCATTTAAAAGTAGGTTTCAGGAATAATGACTCATCACCCTGAAATATTTCAGCGTGATATTCACAATATTCAAATTAATTTTTTATTATATTTTACATTTCCTAAACGTGGTCACATTCATGAGTGTGATGATCCTATGATTCTGGGGCTAAGAGATTAAATAGTTTCCTAGAGTTTCACAGGAAGAAAGTCAGAATTTGAGAGAGATTAAATGATCACACAAATACTCTGAAAATAAATCTCCTGCTGTCAAATGGGACGCCCAGCCCATCCTGGTCCTCGGGCAAAGATCAGCAGCTCCCTCTCCCCTTCCCCAGCCACCAGCAGAATGGTACCCAGGTCCCTTGTCGTCTGCAAGGTCCCATTTTCACCATTCACCAGTACCATTCACTAGAATCCTAGTGACAGACAACTGTCTGTCAAAGCATTCATCCTCAAGCCCGGACTTTCCCGTAGTTTCACCATATAAGCGCCCATTTTCAAATGAACATAGGAGATAGGCTGCCTGCTGTAAGGTTAATTGCACATTAGCTGAATGGGGAGGTGCAGGAATGAGACAGAAATGAGAGACAGAAAGTTGAACACGCCTCCTGGTTCATACACGGGAGACTCCACAATGTGGTACGTGAATGAGAGGGGCCAGGCAACAGGAAAGAAGGGAGATCTGTTAGCAGCTCCAGGTGTGGGGCTTAGGGGAGGAACTGCATTCGTTCATTCCCCCATTAATTCATTAGGAAATAACTAGACCCCTCTTACTGTCTGGCAAAGGAAGCCAGAGCCCTAGCCCAGGGTCCTAAGGTTCAAGGGCTACCAGACCAGCGTCCAGACCTGGGGCTCAGGGCACGGGAAGGAAGCAGAGGCCCGGGCACCAGAGCCAGCCCTCACCCAGAGATGGGCTTGGGGGCCTGGGAGACCAGGTCACCTGCCTGTCAGTTTGCCTGAGGACATCAGACATGATATTCTACTAGTAATACTAGATACAATTTGTGTTTATCAGACAGACAAAATGGCATATACAGCAGAGTTATTTTCAGCCTCTTGACCGTTTTTTGGAGCATTCTTTTAGATGTTTTTACTTACATGGACTATATCCGAACATTTCAAAGATTTTTTTTCATCCTCCTTTTCCTAAAGGCCCCTTTGCCTTATTTTGAAATACTCATTCAAAATTTGAAATATTTTATGTTAGTTTTATGCAACCAATTATTTTGAGCATTTTTGTCTCTTTGCATATATATGTATATTATATATGTATTATATATATTACATATATTACATATATTATATATATATATATATATATATATATATATACACACACACACACACTATATATTATATATATATATATATATATATATATATATATATATATATATATATATACACACACACACACACACACTTGAGCTTTTCGAGGTGTAGGGAGGGGTAGTACCAAATTTTGAAGTATACTACAGAGATTTATCAAAACAGATTATGATATGATGTGTTTTTATTAATATTGATAAAATGAGTTTTAATGTGTTCAAAAAATTTTTTTAAATGAAGTATAGTAAGTTAAAATGTGTCAGTTTCTGATGTAGAGCACAATGTCCCAGTCACACATATACATACATATACTCATTTTCATATTCTTTTTCATTATAGGTTACTACAAGAAATTGAATATAGTTCTCTGTGCTAATGTGCTCAAATTTGTCTGCGGTTTTTTTATGGGTTCCTTGGTTTGATTAAAAAAAATGTCTTGAAGTCCACCTGGCATTCATTTTAGTGATGAGTTCAAGGTGAGGCTGTCATTGCTGCTCCTCACTCCCAGCACGAGGGGCTCCGACTCACTTCCCCACTTCCTCCCTGGGCCCCAGCTCCTCCAGGCTCCAGAGGGCCAGGCGGAAAGAGGAAGTGCAGGCAGGAGATGTCGCTTTCCGAATGCAAGGGATAAATTACTGGGCGTGCATCTGACTTCCTCTGACAATTTGATTAGAGGCTTTCGATGTGCCTGATGGTTTTAAGGTAAGCCAGCATGTGTATAAAGATAAAATGACTAAAAATCCCTCCAGTGCTTACAGTGGAAACATCTAAACAAATCAGAAAGGATCCAATGTCAAAATGGGCTGAAACTATTATTTCCTAGACCAGTTGCTTACAGGTTCTGGGTGGTGGGAGAAGGAAGACGATAATAAAGGGGAAAGGAGAGAAGCAACAAGTGAAGGTCTATTTGTATAACACACAAATCCCTTCAGTTAAAAAAAAAAAGAATAAAATTTTGTTATAAATCCCAGGAGGTCTGAGCAGAAATCATCAGATGGCTTAGCTTACAGGAACAAAAAACATGCATACCCTTCATCATCAGTTAAAGACATGTCCCTCCGGCCAAGGGAACTATTCTGAGACATTCACATCCCTGAGAGGTACTGCCTGCGTCCCGGCAGCCACGCCAAGCTCCCTTTTCTAAGTTACCAAATTTTTAGCTCTGGATTTTACAAGAGAGACTTTTCTGTTTGTGAGATGTTATTTACAGGCCTGTTGTATTGTTTGAGTGACTCTAAAAGCTTTTGTTTGAAGTTTAGAAATACGATTCGGGTCTGGAAAATGTGATTTAGGGAAGACGTTCACGAATTGTTTTCAATTTTGTAAATAATACTGAGATTTGTTGAGACATGAGAACAAATTTTTTGTTGCTGCTGTTGAATTCTTCCTGAAATCATCAGCTGCAAATAAGTTTGAAACTGAGCAGACACTCTGAGATTTCCATCAGGGAAACTGCAATACTTCTGTTACTCATTAGACAGTTGTGAGTGATGGACAGCAGGGCTGGACGGTGGGGTTGTCCTTTGCTCCACTTGCCCCCTGCGGTAAGTGAAGACGGTCACCACCCCAACAGAGTCCTTTAGAAGGAGGAACTGGTGATAAGATTGGTTGCAGTTGGGGTACAAATTATAGAGCTTTCCTGTACTGCACTGCAGTTATGCTTTCTCAAAAAAAAAAAATTCTTTGGCACAGGTGACTATCTCTAAACACATAAACTCCTAGGAAATAGACAAAAAATCGAACTTTCTCAAAAACTGGGGTAAAAGAAAGCAGCTGAATTCCTTGTCAAGCAATCATTTCGTAGTCGGCTGCCATTTTTCTTCTATGATGTTTAGATTGCATTTTCCCTAATTTGGGGGGACTTTTAGACAGCAAGGCCGGCGCTGTCTCTGAGGAGGGGTGGCCTCCTCTCAGCATTTCCTCCCCAATCCTTCCCAGAAGTGCGATGTCTCCGTCAGCTGACAGAAGCCCGACGAATAGCTATGGATCGGCTGAGTGAACAGAACAGAACAAGACATCTCTGTGATATGCTGACCTACCACCAAACCGCGATGTTTACCATGTTCTTGCTTTAGTCTAAGTGTGATATTTTAAAAAATCCTCTCTTTTAGGAAAATTATATTCCTTTTCTTCCTTCAATTTTTATTGACATGTCTTTTCATCTTGTATTTTTGATGTAACATTTTCACTTCCTGCTTTATCATGACCTTTCAAAATCCTTTCCCTTAAAGCAATTTCTCCCCTAAAATTTACTTCATTTCCCACAACCAAGACTTAAAAAAAATTAAATGCCCTTTTCCCTTTTTTTCCTTTTTGAAGTCTACCTCCTTCTTTTAGATTAAAGCATGTTTTCATAGGTCCACCCATATTTGCTGATTTTCTAATGAGGAGAGGTCTATTTTGGCCCCGTGTGTGCCCAGCAATAGTTCATGCACAAATTCTAGTCTCATCTTAAGTGTTGTACACACAAACG